TAACTTTTTCTATAAGTTGAAAGATAACTGAGATACAGGGGGGTCTCAAAATGCAACATTTTTAATTTCGTCCTGTATCTCAAAAACGAAGTGGGTTCAACTGTTCTTGATATAGAAGCCAGTTATCTTCTTTCAAATTGAAACTTCCAGTAGTGCCAATGAGCGCCATTTCTGTGTCTGCAAGGTTCGCTTGGATGCAGTGATCAGTGAAGATACAATATTGCCTCTTACCTCGTCGCCACTTGTTTTGTTCTTTATATGTCTCCAATGATAATCGTATACTTTTCAGCTTGTGAAACCATTTCTTATATTTTGGTGAATAATATAAAGTACAAAGTAATACACAGGAAGTTGATTTAATTTGCCACGTTCTACAGAATGAATCAGAGTCAGAATGAATGTGAAGTCTTCTTTTCGAGGGAATCTCATTCACTGTAATTTCAAGACAGTTTTGATAGTTGACATAGGATGTTGACATAAATATTAATTATTTACTAGGTTATGGTTAAACCTTCGACAACGTAGATATAAGTTATCAAAATATATTACAGAGATCATGTAATGGATTCTTATAGATATTGTTTTTGAGATGTCCTGATGAGAACAAATCTGATGGGGTATAAGATCAGGATATCTTGGTGGGCAAACCTGTGGGCTTAAAATTCGCATATCATAGTATTGTTGGAGGAACTTGTTGTCAAAGAGGTTCTTCCAAATCAAGCTCCACATCTGATGGAGCTGGAAACCCCTTGAATGGCGATGGGCTTTGATTCAATTAGAAGCAATACGAATTGCTGACACCTCGGTCCATTCAGAGCATAAATCTGTGACAACTACAATGTTCTGATTGCCGTTCGATGTTCTAGGATAAGGGCCCATAATATTTATTTATTTTATTTATTTATTTATTTATTTATTTATTTATTTATTCCAACAAACAGGTTTTACCCTAATTACATGTTGTGTGTGTATGAATGGTTGATTGAAGTAGTACTTCACTTTCTGCATCAATCACAGTAATGATACTGTTTTTCCAAAAAATACAGTACTAGTCCAAACAACCTGACTAAAATCTAACTTGAATCTGATAATATATACAAAGTATTAACCAAATAAAAATAATTATTGAATTAGTACAGTTTCACTATTTTGTGATAATTTATTTTTTATTTGATTTCCGAATGTAATCACACTATCTCGAAATATGTCACAGTACGTTTGATTTTCGTTATAGAATATTACATGTGGAGATTTCAGTTGCTAATTCGTCCGAGATGTAGTCACTGCAAATGTTTTGTTATTACTTGCCCGAGTTCTTGAGTTTGGTATTTGTAACTTTACAGATGGAAGAGTAGTACAGTCTTGCGCCATATTGTTGTATATTTTGTATAGATATATATCTGAGCTTATAACTTGCCACGACTGAGTTGGTGATCGTGGTCTCAAAGGAGCCTGTTGTTGTTTTCCCCCAGCTTTTACCGAAGTGCATATGAGGCAAACTCTGACATAATTACGGATAGTTTGCCACATATCTGGCCACTGGAAAGTTGTACGAATCGCCCTGGAAGTTTCGTCTCTACCCGGATGTTCAGCTGTCTTTGCATCATGTTATTCTTATAGTACCCTCTCCTGCAAACTTCTTGGAACCTCCAGTGCTAAATGATTGTCATTCTTATAAAATAGAAATCCATCTTGAACTTGATAAGAATGCTTCAACTTTCTTTCTCTACCTCGCAGATCCTCTTGAGTCTGTTTATTAATCAATTGCCAAATTCGAATATCTTCTCTTATCGCATTATCCTCAAGCTGTGCTTTTCTGACTGCTGAATATATAGGATCTCCAACATCCATTGGATTCAAATACAAGCTTTCACTTAGGTTACTGTCATGATTGCTTTCCGAAATGATAGGTGGTATCAACCGCTCATCATAATCATTTCTACCATTACATTCGACTATTCCAGATTGCGTATATCGTGATAAAAAATCAGCATACTGGTTATCCTTCCCTGGACAATGCTTCACAGTGAATGAGAGATGTAGAAGAAGGGACCATCTAGTCAATTTATATCTTTCATCTTTGAAACGTTCAAGCCAGGAAAGGGCTTTGCTGTCAGTGATAAGTGTGAAAGGGCGATCTTCCAGATACGGCCGAAAATCCTTGCATGCCCACACGACTGCTAAGACCTCCTGCTCATTGACATGGTACTTTTTCTCGGTCTTGGTGAATTTTGAACTTGCATAAGGAATTATATGTCGCTTGCCTGCCATGCCTTTATGAAAAAGAACTGCTTTTCTTGTGGATAATTTGCCTCAGAAGTGATAACATGTCCCAAATATTCCAAATGTGTGGTAGCAAAATGACATTCAGAAAGGGAACAAAGAAGAGGATGTGTACCAAGTCGTTCCAGTACTAGCCTCAGAAGTGATAACATGTCCTAAATATTCCAAATGTGTGGTAGCAAAATGACATTTAGAAAAGGAACGATGAAGATGATGTGTACGTAGTCGTTCCAGTACTAAAGCAAGGTGATACAGATGCTCATCGTGATTTTCTGAATATATAATGATATCATCCAGATGAACCTCGACAAACTTGTCAACATACCCAGATAAAACTTCTGTCCTCATTTTATCGAAAGGTTGAAGGCGCATTCCGGAGACCAAAAGGCATAACTAAGAATTCATACATCGCACCGTCAGGAGGGCCAAATGTAGTTAAAGGGACGCTATCGGGTTGCATGGGAATCTGCCAATATCCTCTTTTGGGATCCAAAGATTTAAAAATTTTACCGTTTCCTAATTCTCTTATCGTTTCACGAATTGGGGGAAGTTGGGATACTTCAGGTTCAGTCTGACTATTGAGCTGACGATAGTCGACACAAAATCTTGGAGAACCATCTTTTTGTTTAACAATCACAACTGGAGAGCAATAACTAGAATGACTTCGCTGGATGACCCCCGCCATCAGCATTTTTTGCCCCTCCTGGTAAATGATTTCTTTCTTCTTTGGAGACTATTGATATCTTCGTATTCTGAATGCTGTACAATTATTCAGTTTGATATAATGCTGTGCGAGCTTCGTAGTTGGTTGGCACAGCCTTTAAGTAATGCTTTAAATTCCTCGAAAGATTCCATGGGAAGTTGATCATACTGTATATTCACAGGGTTGATTTGAAAATCTCCTCTATTCTTCTTGACATTCCAATAAACATTGATACGTTTACGTGTTCCTGCCAGTACCAGTATTCCGTGGTTTTGTGTCAACCAGTCACGTCCTAAGATTAAATCTTCTGTTAGATATTCCAAAATGGGAAATTTAGCGATGAACTGCTGTTCCAACAGATGAATTGTGGTAGAAATTTCACCAAGTGTTTCGAGAACTAGACTAGGATAAGCCAGCCTTACTTCTGTGGTGGATTTTGAAATTGGTATGTAACGAACTAATTTGGATTTAATAAACGAATGACTCGCTTCACTGTATAAAAGGGCAAGCACTGATTGGCCATTGATACTAACTAATATTCGGGGAAGATGGGGATCAATTTGAGATGAATTTATAGTTCCTAGGGTAGGGCTTTCTGGCTCACACCTACCCTGGATTAGTTTTCCGAATGCTGCCTCTGATGCCTTTGGTAATTTTGTGTCTGCCTAGACGATTCTTGTACTCGTCGTTGTGGGCAATTCCTATTATAATGCCAAACTCTACAAAAAAGACATGGGGACCTTGGCCCATTTGTATCAGCTGATCCATTATTCAGAAAATTTGTATTTGATAGTGTCTGGTATTTTTTCATGTCCGAAAAATCATTTTCTATAATAATAGTAGCAGCCTGAATCAATTCCTCCATGCCACCAAACTTCCTCCCACGGAGGTTGACTCTCAATTCCGGAAGAAGAAGCTCGAGTGCTCTACTACTGATTTTATCAGATTCCAGATCTGGTTCGAGTCTGTGAAATAACGCTTGTTTGTTAGTGAGGAATAGTGCAACGGATTCTGATTTCTGTTTTTCCTCATATAATTTTGCATAAAGCAAACCTTGTATCGAAACATTGTCAAACTTTTCTAGTAGCCGATTGCAAAACACCTCAAAGTTAAAATTCTGTCCTTAAAAATTAGTGAACCATCTCTTAGCTTTGCCTTCAAGTGCCGCTGCAGCCAAAGGAACTTGTCTAGTAATTGGAATTTGATTGGAAATGAAGTAATTCTTCATGTCGTTCACGAATTTTGTTGGTGATTCAATATCCAATCCAGAAAATTATGTATGAGGGATTGAACGATAGTTTGATCCCAGTTCGTCCCACAATTTAGCTGTAAGCAATGCCACTTGATGCAATGCAGTCTCAGTAGTTGAAAGTGGGACTTCAGGTGGAACTTTCTCAGTATATGATGGAGTAACACTCCACTTTGGTACTGGTGTTGTGTTTTGATTTGGGCGCCACGTAATTTTTTCAGAATTACGAAACTGGAATTCTGCTGGAGTTTCTTGTGGGTACGGTTCTTTCAATCCTGAAAAATTCATTACCCCACGTTGAGCACCATGTTGTCGAAAAGGTTCTTCCAAATCAAGCTCCACATCTGATGGAGCTGGAAACCCCTTGAACGGCGATGGGCTTTGGGAGCTGAGCCGCCGTTGCAGGAACGATGATGCCGGCGGTGGTCTGTGCTGACCGTTCTGAGATTACTCTCAAACACGACTTTCATTCAATCGGAATTGGATGTCAGTCACACTTGACGTCCCCGAATCTCATCATATACGGGGTGGTGACACCTCGCAGTGGTCAGTCTGCGACAAACTGAATAGTTAATAATCCATTAATATCGAATTCCATAGAATTTTTTGCTCACTATATCAAATATGAAGAATAATTACAACACTATTAATAATTCATCTTGAGATTTCCATCAATTAAAAATCATTATAGTCTGATTGAAAGTGGAAATTTTAACTTAACTGTACTGTGCTTCAGGTAGAGATATGTAATACAAGATTTTTCAGGTGCTTATGGTCGAGATATTGGTACTTCACTTCCAGAGCTCCTATGGCAGTTGGTAGAAGTGATACCAAAAGGTTGCCGTCTGAGACTTGGTATGACGAATCCTCCCTATATTCTGGAACATTTAGAAGAAATTGCAAAAATAATGGGCAACCCCAGGGTCTACAGTTTTCTTCATGTTCCTGTTCAGTCAGGAAGTGATCAGGTTCTCGCTGATATGAAGAGAGAATATTGCAGGAGTGAATTCGAACATGTAGTGGATTTTTTACAAGAAAGGTAAAAATAATTATTCAAGTACCTACCTTGTTTTTCTGCATGGAATAATTTAGAGGGTTAGAGACTTATTATTTGAAAACAGAATCCCGGCATCAAACATGAACTGTTGTCTATTAACCTTGTCGGATATACTACACCGAAGTAATGTTTCCAGAAATCAATTTGCAATGTAAGGCAGAACTTGCGAAACACATGACCTTGTATCTGCCTATAGTCTACCAGGAAGGTTTTGGGTTTATCTTAGCTTCAGTACTAATTTGTAGTTTCTTTAAACTGAGAGGTATATATTGAAAAGGAATATTCTCAGTTATATTATGCACATGAGTAAAAATTGGCTTGATGGCCTTCTCAAGATATTTCCTCACTTCTATCTGAAATACCGCACACGCGCACTCAAATATTGCGTTCTGGCTAACACCACGTATGCAGGGACGTTAAAATTAGGAAATCCGTGCACTCACCCCCTGTTGATATGGCTGTAAACAGGCATTTCTACATAGGTAATTAGTCAATCACTGGTTCGGGAGGACATCTTTTGAGATTATAAATGTTATGCTTCTCTTTCAAATTGCCATCCTTGTCCACCAACTCGTAGGAATTGATTCCCTTCTTCGCTCTAATTGCAAACGGTCCTTCGAACAAAACGAAAAATGTCTTACTTTTCCCTCTTTAGCAGACGACAAATGATGAGATCCTACGAATAACAAATCACCAACATTAAATTCTTCCAACTTTCCTGTTGTATTATAACGTTCTTGTCTTTTTTAAAGCGCGTGTTTGCAACCTTTCATGAGCAAGAGTGATTATAACATCTCGGTCTGGTAGAGAATAATCTTGAGGAAACATAACAGCGACTGGTGGGAAGTTTCTTGGTCGTTGGCAATGGATTTGATCCAGGATGAAACCAGTGGAATCGTGGCTCACTCAGGTACAACATTGGCACACTTTGGGTGTTGTTAGTGACACATTGAACGAAGAAGATGTTCAATCCACCGGTTGACTCTTCCTGTAGCATTTCCTTGGGGAAAGTAGACCGAAGTAAAGGATACCAGATTATCCATAGTTGTTAGTTTTCGCTTCCATTCGTCAGATCGAGATTGCGTACCATTATCTGAGTGGATACGAGCAGGGAAGCCGATATTCTCCACATAATATTTCACCTAATGCAACAGTATAATGGTAGTCGCCCTTTTTATAGCATATAAGGCAACATATTTTGAAAAAGCATCAATTGCTACGAACAAAAATACTGTTCCTGCACGTGGCTTCGGTAATAGTCCCATGAGATCCACGCACACCAGTTGATTTGGGCCATCTGGAATTACGCTCGACATAAGATCTTTTCCGTGAGTGGAGATCTTTTTTTTATGACACAATTCACAGTGGGGACATAATCTTTTCCCAATAAAACGTGGTCCCAAATGGCCATTATTTTCATGCTCATTTTTAATGAGAACTGCATGGAATACATATTTTATAACCATCTACCTCTTTCCTTAAACCAAATTCTGCTACTGATTACAAAAAATCCGACTCGATCTATTCCCCCTGATTCCGAACCAGTTGCCAATATTCATCCTGAATCTGGTCTGTCTCCAAATTTCTCTGATCAAGTTTCTGCATTCGGAAACATTCATTCAACATTGAAAATTGCTAATTCCATAATATCTTCCACCGCTTTTTCTTCCACAGGTTAAGGTAAAGGATATCTGGATAGAGTGTCCACGATAATATTATCTTTGCGTGGGCAATACTCCACCTTGGAATCATATTCCTGGAGCTGTAAAGTCTACCCAGTTAACCGTGATTCAAGTTACCGACTTTTTCGAAGGAAAGTCAAAGCACAAAGTGTTACGGTTTAGGTTAGGTATGTTTGAGTAAACAATTGTGTGTGGCCCGGCGAGACTGTCGGCACGTGCTTTATTGTCGAAGCTCCACTCATGCGCACATACACATTATCTTCCCTCCATTTTTTTGTTGTTTTCATTTCATGTTTCATGTCAAAAAAAATTTTGGCCCCAACAATAATTATGGAATGAGAATATGTAACAATTTCACCTACAACTTAACAACAATAACATCGATAATAATAAACTACTCAACACTAATTTCGTCGCACACCAAAATGTCGCCCCTGTTATAATGTGAATAACTTTTTTCAGTTTAGAACAATTTTAATTTGGTTCACACTGTTCGATAGCCCAGTCCTTCAGCTATAATCTCGTACTTCATTGAAATATAAGGGTATTCACATAAAATCTCTACATGGTGTTTTCCGACACTGTGCAAAATTTCGGAATATTCAAAAGGCTCTCAAATGGTGAAAAAATTGTTTTTCTCAACTTCGACAACAGAGGCATGAAGATGATCTCATTACCTCGAGATATTTCGCGAATCAACTTCCTATCTCTCTTATTTACAGAGTGATCTAAAAAAATCAACTTTTTGGTTTTGCAGCCATAACTTTTTTCCACGTCAACCGATTTTGGAAATCTTAGGCTCATTTTGAAGATAAAACTTCAGATGAAGAGAGCTGAATATCAGAATTGACTCAAGATGGCAATCAAAGATCTAGAGTTTTCTTGAAAGTGACCCAAATCTGGAACGCCCTCCGAATCTCGGTTGGGAGGAGAATTGAATAAAAATCAACTTGTTCTCGGAAAAACAATTCATTCTGGATGCGTCCATATTTTCCTCGCTCTCAATACTCAAGAATGTGCGTGAGAAAACACAATTGAAACATGTTCTTGCAAAAACATCAGACCATTTCTCCTCTGTAATGCATGGCCCGTAACCAACGTTACAAGAATCACAGTAAGTGACTGACAAGTCAGGTTAGACGTCGTTTTCGAATCATAAACAGATTTTGATTGTTTCGATGCCGCATCTAACGCCCGACCAGTTGAAACTGATTCCACAAATGAGGGAACAAGGGTTATCTTCCCTCCAAATCGCGGATCTGCTAAACACGACAGTCCGATCCATTTAAAGGGCTTATCTCCGACACGAATTGTTTGGTTATTACTGTCGATTCGTTCGGCGCATTATTGCGACTGAAAACTTTACGTAATTGGCAAACTCTTTTCGTGAAACTTTCACCATTTTTGAAATGCGTTTTCACAATAAATAAACGTTGTTTGCTTGAATACTTCTCCATATTCTTAAATCGCATGTTATGTACGTGACAACTGTTAAAAATATCACTTAATTGAAAAAATCAAAATCAGTTGCTCTTGTTGGTACACCATTTATGATGAGCCTCAGCTGGTCGGGTTTGTCAGTCACTCATTGTGATTCTTGTAACGTTGGTTACGATGCATTACAGAGGAAAAATGATCTAATGTTTTTGCGAGAACATGTTTCAATTGTGTTTTCTCACGCACAATTCTTGACTACTGAGAGCAAGGAAAATATGGACGCATCCAGAATGAATTGTTTCTCCGAGAACAAGTTGATTTTCATTCAATTCTCCTCCCAACCAAGATTCGTAGGGCATTCCAGATTTGGGTCACTTTCAAGAAAACTCTAGATCTTTGATAGCCATCTTGAGTCAATTCTGATATTCAGATCTCTTCATCTGAAGTTTTATCTTCAAAATGAGCCTAGAATTTCCGAAATCGGTTGACGTGGAAAAAAGTTATGGTTGCAAAACCAAAAAGTTGTTTTTTTGAGATCACTCTGTAAATAAGAGATATAGGAAAATGATTCGCGAAATATCTCGAGGTAATGAGATCATCTTCATGCCTCTGTTGTCGAAGTTGAGAAAAAATTTTTTTTCAACATTTGAGAGCCTTTTGAATATTCCGAAATTTTGCACAGTGTCGGAAACACCATGTAGAGATTTTATGTGAATACCCTTATATTTCAATGAAGTACGAGATTATAGCTGAAGGACTGGGCTATCGAACAGTGTGAACCAAATTAAAATTGTTCTAAACTGAAAAAAGTTATTCACATTATAACAGGGCGACATTTTGGTGTGCGACGAAATTAGTGTTGTGTAGTTCAGATAACATAGTCGTGAACATATTATCAACATTGATATGTATAGACAACATGACAACGATGAAATTTCAACTATACCCTATGAAAATTATAACGATACCCTAATCCTTGAATTTAAATACTTTTCTACCACGCAACTCCTTGAACACTCTTCCTTCAACATCATCGCCTGTTGAGTCATCACCCAAAATTGATTGATGCCCTTTCTCCTGGTGTATCATGCATGATGTTGCAGGAAGAGTATTCCTGCCATCATGCCACTCCTGAGTTTTTGTCAATGCCCAAATCGTCATAATCAGGCTCAACGATACCCCGCTGATTTTTCACCTTCATGAGGTCTATTCTATTTCGCCTATACTGGGATCCTGAACTTGTTTGTACAATATATGATCGCGGCAACCCTTTTTCACACGCTATAATTCGACCTGGAACTCAAATTTTACCGACTTTCATGCGAATTTGGTCCCCAACACTTAATTCGCTGAGAGGCTTATTACTCTTGTCATAATATCTTCAAAACTTTTCTTGTTTTAACTCTAATTTTTGTCTGACATCTACTGATGGCACTGCTGGAGTCAACCAGTTTTTTCCTACCGGCAAATTACAGTTGAGTTGCCGATTCATCAGCATCTGTGCGGGAGACAAATTTATTCCTTCAAGAGGCGCATTTCGATATTGTAACAAGCCTATATGAGGATCTATTCTTGCTGTCGATGCTTGCTTGAAAATATTTTTTACGATTTATACGCCGCTCTCAGCCTGTCCATTAGACTGGGGGTACATTGGGCTACTAGTGACATGCGTGAATTCCCATTGTCTAGAAAAATTTTGAAATTCCGCAGCCGGGAATTGTCGTCCATTATCTGATGGGGAACGAAAGTAATACCATGCCTGGCAAAAACAGATTTTAGAATATCAATCACACATTTGCTCTGCAGAATTTTCATTTTGACTACCTCAATATATTCAGAAGAGTAGTCCATAATAATAGAGTA